ACCTCAGCCCTCAAAAGCTTATCATCAGTTCACCAAATGACTTCACTCTGTCCTTCTAAATTACCCTTCTTGAATCTAGCCCTGGCCTTCATCATGGGATCTCAAATTTTTTGCTCATCTACAAGTAGCACAATTAGATTTCTCAGTAACGGCTAAAAATGGAAATGTCCTTATCCCACTTCATCAAAAATACAAACAAGCAAACCACAAAAGTTGTAAATTAAAAATTCAACAGACAAAGCTTTTATTTATTCTTTCATTCATTGAATAAATTTTAATTGAACACTGTGTACAGGCATATTGCTAGGTGCTGGGGACTCTCACCAGGAGGAAGGTAGACACAGTACATCTTTTGGAGCTAATGATTAAGCATCTGTACATAACTACAATCTGGACTTCCTTCCAAAGAGCATAAGGTCCCTAAAGGAAAGGCCTCAATGCTCCAATTTAAAACAATTCCAATCCTGTTAGCTCTATGACACAAACCTTCAAGGATGGATTTGAGAGAGATGACTGTTATAATAACAAAGTTATTAAATAACTAGATCCTGATAGAACAATTCAAGAGGGTAGAATAGAGGAAATGTTTTCAGTCCAACTCAGTGTTCTTGGACTATAAAATTGCTCTTTAATAAAATGAAAAATTAAGCATGTAAAAAAAAGCAGCAGCAGCAGCACCTTCCAAGGGACCCACTTCCTAACGTCTGCAGAAAGTGGCATCTCTGGGATCTTTGTTGCTACAGATGTCACCAGAAAAAAAGATGAAGTCTTAGTCTGCTTTTGCAGGCAAATACACAAGTAACCTTCTGCAACAAATGAAAAAAAATCAAAGCTAGAAATAAAAGCCAAATGACAGCATGTTAGAAACCTTCAGAAAGGGACTTTCAGAGTAAGTTCAGTCCAACTCTCAGTATATCTGAACACAATAAACTGATATATAGCCTACATTGTCAATTTTATAGCAAGAATAGACAGCATTGATGCCAATTACTTTTTGTCCTAGTCAAGACAGCCTGTCACCCTTCTACAGAACAGTTATCTATAGGTGCATAATACTTAAAAGCTAAATTCTTTCTCCAAATCAGCACAGAAAAAGTGCTACTCACAGCAATTTGACTTCATTTCATTAAATTAGATTAATTTTTAACTGTGTTATTCTAACAATTATGCCAACTACTATGTAATTAATATTCCAACTGACTTTACAAAAATTACAAAATCCCCTAAAGAAAATAATTAGTCATTATGCATGAATGAGACTTTTCTATGGCCAACAGCACATAAAACAGAAAGTTCATCACATAATGGGTAGTATCAAAGCCCTTCCCACAGTTCCTTCAATTCTTAGCCAATAGCACATAAAGCTGACACTGGCAACTTACCCCAAACTTCACTTAATATATGAATGCACTTATTAGTTTTTACTCTTTGAGGTTAAAATGATGAAGGATGAAAGCATCAGCAATTAAAAAGCTCTTTTCACTTGTAGGAGAGGCAACTTAAACACATATAACTGTTTGCTTCTTTCATTTCCCCAGCTGGAAATGAGAATACTGGCTTATTTCTCAGGGCTATTTTTGGGTTTATAAATAAATGTACATAAGGCACCCTTACCCTTGTTTTCCTCTTCCACTCCTACTTTTCTTCCTGGATTTTATGTATTTTTTATAATCCAACTTAATGGCTGTCTAACCTCTGGAATTCCAGTAGCATAGTGGTTAAAGAATTCAGTTGCTAACCAAAAGGTCAGTGGTTCAAATCCTCCAGCCACTCTCTAGGAGAAAGATGAGGCAGGGGGCTTCCATAAAGATATGCAGCCTTGGTAACTCTATGGTACTCTATCCCATAGGGTCACTATGCATTGGAATCAACTTCATGGCAGGGGATTTGATTTGGTTTTGGTCTAACACTAGAATGCAGAACTGAGAGGAATTTAAGCCCACATACGGCCTCAGCAGGAGAGTGTCACAGTTGATTAGTGATGTCTGCCCTGGACAAGGGCAACGGTTTGTGGACCCATGTACCATGTATATATTTGACATCTCCATACTTCAATAAACCACCAAAAATTAGTAAAATACATGAAGATTCATGCATAAAATGTAACATATGAATTATTTCTCATGTTCAGATTAAAGGTAAAAAAAAGTTTTCTAAAATCTACAACTCTAAGCCAAATTGAATTAAGCCATCAAGTGCTGGAGAAAATAATACTGAAGTAAGTTTGAAAATCCAAATTTTAGACTAGCTGAGGAGTCTTGAACAGGTCAGTTCACAGTCCTCAGTTTGCCTGGCTCTAAAATAAGAGGCTACACTACAAGCTGTCTTTAACCATTCTCTTTCACCGTGTTACTCAATGGTATAAGTAGCCCAAAAGCCCCTCTCTGCTGGTAGGACGAGGGAGCTGATGAAAGAATACTTTACATGTGCTTAACTTCACCAGGCCAAAGACATGCCTATAATCCCTAGACTCCCCTCACACAGCTCATTTGGGATTTATCATCCAGGATAAATTTCTATCCATATTTTTAATCTGTAGCATCTCTAAGGGCAAAGACGTTCCACACACATAATATTTCTTTTCCTTACAACCTCTTTACCACCATGAAGCTGATGTGGGGTCAAAATTAATAATCCATAATTTGAAAACAATTAAAACCACCTTCACCCAAAAGGAAAGTGTCATCATTCCAATTTAAACAGTCACTCATCCAGGGATGGGAGTGGAGAGGAGGGAAAACTGCTAGATCGGTTGGGGGAAAAAAAAGATATATATATATATATATACACACACACACACACACATACACACACATATACATATATACCAAAGATTATTAGTGGTTACCAGCCACTCCTCAGAAGGACAATTGGGCAATCTACTTCCGTAGTGATACCGCCTTGGAAACCTAAGGAGGGGCTGCTATGAGTCGGGTCTGACTGGACAGCAAATAACAACAACAGCAACAATGAGGCGGGTGGGGGGGCCTTTAGTTTGCAGAGCATTAAGTTTATGCTAATAGTGGTGGAGTATTTTGGAAAAGGAGAGCAATAATGGTGGCACGTGAAAAATGTCAATGTCCCTGAGCTGTAAATGTGCAAGTTATTGTGTTGGTGAATGTCTTAGTGTGTATGTTTTCACCACAATAAAAGTAAACTTGAAAAAACAAAATAAATGGTCACTCATAGTTTCAAAATGAACCTAAATCTTCCCACTACTAAAAAGTCTTTGTCACCCTAGACTCTTTCAAGAACAACCTTACCCACATAATGTATCGACACAACTTTCTTGTCCAAAAACCAAAAAGCGAAACTTTCTACAAGAAGTACAACCAGAAATAAGTTACACCACTCACTTACGGATCAGATCCCACCCGATAACCTAGCAAAATCAAGTTAAAACGACCAAGCATGTCCCTAAGAAAACAAGGAAGTTCAATTCAAACAGGACAACCTGGGAGAGCAATGTTGTCTGTGTATGTCTGGGACAGTCCCACATCTAGCATCAGCACTTACAACAGAAATCTATAATGTTTTTGTCTACCCTGCATCCCCTTCCTTTGGGACCTTCCTGTCTCCAAAGCAGAGAAGCCCCACTTTCCCATGCCTCAGATGATCAGAGCTGGCCAGTGAGAGAATCCCGTCCCCTGGATTCAGTGCACCATCTCAGGGCCAGCTACCTAGCAGGATCCTTTTTTAGGGCCTAATGTGGACACTAGGAACTCTGGTAGCATAGTGTCTAAGGCACTTGACTGCTAACCAGAGGCTGGTGGTTCAAACCCACCAGCCACTCCTCGGAAGGAAGATGGGGCAATCTACTTCCATAGTGATACTGCCTCAGAAACCCGAGGAGGGGTCGCTATGAGTTGGGGCCGACTCAACGGCACATAACAACAACAACAACTGTATGCATATGAACTTCAAGTTCTTTCTCTAGTGCTCCACAGTAAATCACCTTCTCCCTAAACTCAGACTGAGCTTCAAGGAGTTCCATTCCAAACCAAAGAAAACTAAAATACTCCCCAGAAAAATTCAAAGAAGAAATTGTGCACACCAGGAAAACTGGCAAGGCTCATCTATCATCCACGATCTATAGGGCAAAGGACTACTGAAAGGAGGGAAAAGACAATGTATAGCTGGGGAGGGCAAAGCAGTTCACACCAATAATTGTAAAAATAAGTATCTCCAGGGAGATAGTACAGTAAAATGAGAAAAGCTTCCAAAATCCCTCGAGTCTTATATTCTGGCTCCCCATCAACAGGAAAAGAAAACACACACACATAACAACAACCCACAGCACCCAAACAAAAGGAACTTGTCAGTAAATAAACTGTTCCCAGGCTTATGAGCCTAATTGTTCCTTTTATTTTTAGACTATAGTTTAGTTTTCCTTTTATAGCTGTCCTAGGTTCTATCCCACAGACCTGCTTGCTAAATGAAACATGAATGTCAAATTCTATGAGTATGTTAAGAATCTCCCTCAGAGGGCCTCTAAAGTAATTAGGTAGTAATTAAAGAGTAATCTAACAAGCAACATTCTAGAGATGTTCTTCTATAAACAACAGGGGGAAAGGTAGGATACACAACATTAACAACAGGAGTAGCTAAACATTTAGGCCACCAGTCCTTAAGAGAGTCATCTGAGAATCTGATAAAAGCTATAAACCCTCCCCCAGAAAAAAAAAAATGCACATATCACAACATTTTGCATATAATTTCAAGGGATTAATAAAAGCTGTTCCCCATACCCAATCCCCAGGTTAAAAACTCTTGACTCAGAATTTTACAAAATTTTAATTACCTATGCATCATTATTAATCCTCAAAGACTTCAAAAGACCACAAAATAGCTAACAGGGAAATTCTAAAACTTCGAACTCTATAATCCTATGCTGAGTGAAAAAATAAAGAAAAACAACTTACCTTCGCATTCTACGATTTAGGATATGAGAACACTTGGTTTTTCTTATATTAGCCTCCTTTATAACATGCCTCCCTTACCTTGTTTGACCATTTATATGCTTGAAGGAGTTGACTATAGAGAGGAGTTTTGTCCTGCACAGGATCCAAGCTTAAGAGTCCGCTGTTATGGAGAGGATGGTTCTCAGATGGCTTGCCTACCAAGTTGCTCAGCCGCTCCAGCTCACTGAAAAGTAAACAGACACAGCAAATAAGCCTGAGTCCACTTAAACTCCAAAGTAAAGCCAACCACCATTGTCAAAGACTCTCTTCAAGCTGCCCATCAGAATCTGTTAAAAATTGCACCTAAAGCACAATAAAAAAAATAATAATAAAAATCATAATTCCAACTGTTCACTAGACGTTCTAATTTTTTTCATTACCTGAAATAATAATAAACCTCTTGTTTTCTGCTAAAAAAAAAAAAAAAAAAGTCCATTAAAAAGAAATACTTTTTGAGAAGTTAAATAGATCAGGCTAATCAAGAAAAATCCTAACTGGGAGCTTATCTTAATTTAAAACAGAGCTTCCTGGTGTCATTCCAAAGTAAAAGAAAGTTAAGAGCACTAGAATCAATAATTGTTGTTATTGTTATGTGCCATCAAGTCAGACCTGACTCACAGCGACCCCTCCTTGGGTTTCCAAGGCAGTATCACTATGGAAGTAGATTGCCCAACCTTCCTTCCGAGGAGTGGCTGGTGGGTTTGAACTGCCAGCCTTCTGGTTAGCAGTCAAGTGCCTTATGCTACCAGAGCTCCTAGAATCAAAAATATGGCTCATAAAAATCAGGATTTAACAACTTCAATTATTCTCTTCAGGGGCAAGGGGACTTTCTGGAATTTTGAAATGTAGCACAACATTGCTTCTCACTAATGGGTTTCAGACCCCTGTGCAGATCATTACATTTGGCAGAACAGCAAGTACCTGAATAAAATGATTATTTATCATTTACGTAGGGCTACATTTGTACACAATGCTTCACAGATGGTAAAACTTAACAAAACAAAGAAGAGATAAAATAAACAAATGGAATGGGAAGACACCACGGAAGGGGTTGTGTCAAACAAACACACTTCAGTCTAGCAGGAAAACTCTAGTGAAGGTTGGAAATGGGAGCCAACAACAAACACACATTCCAGGAGCACATTCTGAGGGCCAGCCCACAAATGCCACTAAGAAAAGTCTCCCTGAGAACAGCCTCTCATGCCACATTCATTTTGGAATCTTCAGCCACCTTCTTGTTGGTGCTACTGCACAAAGACTTAAGAAGGCAAAGGGGGCCTTCTTAAATTTTCTAAGACAATGAAGTGGTCTAGTACTCTGAACATTACAAAGGGAAGAAAATCAGAGGGAAAGTGGAAATGGAAGAGATGCAAGAGCAACCAGTGCATTTCTTCAAGCAGGCAAAGTATTAACTGGCACCATGCCATAGAACAGCAAGGAGATGTGGGAGTTGAAGGGGGATGTGTGTGATTTCCTGGCTTTCCCTAAAAAAGAATGGCAACTACTCAGGGGGAAAAGCAAAAAGAGGCACTCGTCATTTGGCCACAACCACCTCCTCCTCAATCATACTTCTTTCTTCCACCTGGTTACTAAGGAAATCAAGTTGAGAGGAAAAAAAAATTCAACCATTCCAGAAATCATTGGATGACTAGCTCACCAAACGCCTTCCCCTGCTAAGGTCCGTTCTGATAAGTAAAAGGAAAAAGTCCTGAAATTCTAACCTTCCTGGGAAGGACTGACTCCCTTAAGTTCAGGATCTACCCAGTTATAGAGGGTGTACTATGTGCTGGCACTTTACAAACATCCTCTCATTCAACCCTTACAACACTTACAAAGCAGAAGAAGGTGAGCTGTAAGAAAGAGAAGGAAACGTACAATCCTTAACCCTAAAGAACCACAAATTCGTATTTGGCGGGCAGGGGGCTGGGGTAGGGACGCTTAAGCATAGTGATTAAGCTGGTTAAGAAGCCTAAGGTTAACTAAAAGAATTGATCAGGAACAGTTAGGAGTGAGAATACTGATCTGGTATTTGGGAGAGGATAAGGGAAGATAGGGATCGGGCAGTGCTTCGTTCTGCTGTGCATGGGGTCGCTATGAGTCGGAAACGACTCGACGGCACTTAACAACAACAACAACAGGGGAAGATAAATCAAGACCTGTTTTGTCGTTTGGGGAGGGTAGGGGATAGAAGTAATGAACTCCAGGTGTAGGGGAGAGGAATAGGGGCTCCGATCCGATGCACTTAAGTGAGCAACCTGGAGCCACCTTGATCCTATTTTTGTTTGGTCCTATCAGTACTGTTTAATCAGACATGGTGGGGCACAGAGGATCTACAGGTGAAAAATGTGCCAAACTAAATGAGAAGTGGAAGTTCACAGGAACAGCATGCCTTCTCGTGAAGAATGGGGCGACCACAGGGGGGATCCTGGTGGCCGAGACAGCCAAAGCTAGGAGGCCAAGACAAGGCGACGAGAAAGCGGGGGTGGGGGACGAGGTGTCCCTGAGGGGCAGACAGAGGCTTAAAGAGGGCAGAGAGATAACGTGGAACAAGGGAATGCCAAAATAGCCCTTAGCTGGGAAGACGCGCGGGGTCGGAACAGAGCTGGTTCCCCACTCCGGCCCCCTCAGCCGGTACCTACTTCAGGTCCCGGTTGACGGAATGCAAGTTGTCCTGGAAGTGCGCAATGAAAGCCTTCTCCCGGCCCTCCAGTGTCTCCTTGTTTCTCATGCCATCTTTCAGGCAGTCGAACACCCTACTAACGCTGGAGCGCAGCGCCTGGATAGCGCTAATAGCCTGGGCAAAAGCCTCCAGGTTCACTCCGACGTTTAACACGTCCGCCATAATACCGCCGCCACAGCGGGCTCTCCAGAGTCGGCTTTCCTAGCAAACAGCCGCACTCACTGATGACGTAATCCTTGATGATCTCTGGGAAATGTAGTTCGTGTGGGGTGGGTCTGCCCACGTGGTTTGTGGGGCACAATACGAAAGAAAGTTTTCATTTGGACTAAACTAATTCCAGGGCAAGACAGTGAAAATCTCCACTTGGAGAAGTCAGGTTTTACTTTCGTTTTCCTTAGTGGTAGCAAGGAGATACAGAAAGTTCATGCATTTCTTCCAACTTGCACTCTAGGAGTCATATGGAAAAGAATTGCTCAGCCTGGTTAAGTGTCCTGGGAGCTCTGGAGGCTTAGTGCCTAAGGCACTTGACTGGTAACCAGAAGGTTGGCAGTTCAAACCCACCAGCCACTCCTCAGAGGGAAGATTGGTCAATCTACTTCCATGGCGATACTGCTTCAGAAACCTAAGGAGGGGTTGCTATGAGTTGGAGACAACTCCACAGCAATAACAAGAACAGTAAAGTGTCCATCGATGAATGCAAAAATGCATAATTTGAGTCTAATCATGATACCGGACAAACTCAAATTGAAAGACGTTCAACAAAATAATTGACCTCTGCTTTTTTTTTTTTTTTTTTTT